TATATTAGAGACTGTTCATGCTTATGTGAACTGTCATCACAGTATTGATCTGTAACTTTTATGAGCATATTTTATTAATATCATCTTATCATTAAATTGAATATGAATAGTTAACATTTAATAAGCATAGAATGTAAATGTAGAAACGTACTTCATGCCATTGGGTTTTGAAAATGTGGAAAAGTCATATAACAGCCTGAGAATCATGAAACATGCCCCCCATAATATACTAGTTGCAATGTTACAACTCATTTAAGGAGTAGTTCTTGATAACAGTGATTATACTATTTTTGTTTGTCAGTATACTAAGCAATATGTCCTCAAGGAATGGAAATAAAATGTTTGATACAGTTTTAAAATATATATTGCATTCTCGGCTGGGCATGGTGGCTCATGCCTGTAATCCAAGCACTTTGGAGGTAAAGGTGGGCGGATCACCTGAGGTCGGGAGTTCAAAATATCTATTGCATTCTCTTAAATTCTGGAAATAAACTTCCCATTTAATGATTCATAATTAAACATGAAACTCATAAAGTGCAGGAAGATAATTCAAAGCTATAAATGTGAAAAACAATTAATTTTTTATTATACTAGTTTATTCTTATTGGTAAAGTAGTATAAGTTTTCTACAAATCAGTAATTTTTGCATGACTAGTTAAAGCATAGTTTAATTCATTTTTATCTTTAAAATATCTTGATTATTAAATGACTTTTTATCATTTACATATAAATGCATAACATATGTATATTTTTATATATATCCATTTATATTTATGTTTGTTTAAATAGTAGATTATGAATGTAAATATGTTTGATAGGTATCCTGGCACCAGAAACCAATTATTTTTCCTGAATGGCAATGAAGAAAGCTTACGTCCAACTGAAAAAACTAACCTTTGTTTAGATTCTGTCATATATAAAAATATTCCAGGCAGTTTTGTCTTTATTTTGAACAATTCTACAGCTCAAAGTTTCTCTAAAATTATTTGGTTTCTCATTTTTATGAAATAGAACTAATATTTAGGGAAATTTTCAATATGTATTTCACTGATTTTCACTATTTTGTTTAGGTCATTTTGATATCATCAAAACATTTTCAAAAGTTCTATAGATAAAAATACATGTATAGATATGTACATGTACATACATAAATAATTTCTTACATGATTACATTTGCATGGTTGAATGGCTTCTCCTGAAAATCTCTTTAATGTTAACAATACTTGCGGAGGCCAGGTGCGGTGGCTCACACCTGTCATCACAGCACTTTGGGAGGCCGAGGCGGGTGGATCACAAGGTCAAGAGATCGAGACCATCCTGGCCAACATGGTGAAACCCTCTCTCTACTAAAAATACAAAAAATTTAGCTGGGCGTGGTGGCGCGTGCCTGTAGTCCCAGCTACTCTGGAGGCTGAGGCAGGAGAATTGCTTGACCCCAAAAGGCGAAGGTTGCGGTGAGCCTGACGCCTGGCAACAGAGCAAGATTGTCTCAAAAAAAAAAAAAAAAAAAAGAATACTTGGGGAATAGAAAAGGGAAAATGTCTGCTTTAAAGAGCGTTCTGCTTCTGGAAGTAGAGACAAAATTTTCTGAGTATACAGGGAATCTGACATTTCCTGGTTCTGGATGATGAATCCATTTTGTATTTATTGAACATATACTTTATTCCTAGGTTGCACACTTCTCATCTGTAACAGAGGCCAGGAGCAGTTGTGTGCATGGGCATAGATTGTGCATTTCACAAACCAGGTGACCAAAATATGGGTCAAGTCAGCAGTTTTGGTGATGAGGCAGGTGGGTTCTCCCCTACATCAGAGGCAGTGCTATCTGCTCTTATGTGCTCCTTGAGCTACAGCGCTTCTAAACTCCACAAGCCCTCATACTGGAGCATTGCTCACAACCCACCTGCTACTCCACCTGGAAGGTAATTTTCTCCTACCCATTTTCAGGGAATGTATTGTTCTTAACACAAAATGTAAACCTGAATTCAAGAATATTCAGAATTTTGAAAGTATCTTTCTTGTGCTGCTCTATTTTCTTAATACTATGCCAAGTTTACTCATAAGCATGAAGATCAAGGATATTGTACCAAGTACCAACTCATCCAGGAGACCCAGGCAGCACTGAAGGCAATTAGAGGAAGACACTAGATAGAACAGCAAAGTGGATCTATCTGGGGGACCAGCAGCCTACTGAGCTGAGAGCCTCAGGGGCTGACAGCTTTCCAGGCTGAAGGCCCCAAACAGATTCTGATCCTCATATTTATTCTCTCTTAAACAGGTTACTCTTATTAATAAACAAGTGTTCCATATTTACCCACAACTCAAAAATATACCAAGTAGGCAGCTGTTACCCACCCACCACTAATTACAAACTAAAAGGTGCTCTCCATAAGGGAGCCATGGGAGCAGGGTAAAGTTAATATTCCTCAACAGTAAACTTAAGTTTCTCAACAATATTGCATTATTAGGGATAGTTCCCATTTAAATTTTTCTGTCTTGAACAAGATCATTGAAATAATTTCTCTGTTCAGGAATCTTCTTTTCCCACCCCCACTCATTGTCAACAGAAATCTCTCTCCAAAGAGACAAAATCTACTGTTCTTAAATTAATTGGGGCTTAAAATGAAAAATAAGCTGAATTAATATCGCTTATATCAACATTTTTGAGGGTCTACTGAGTTCCCAGCACTGAAGGAAGCTGGATAAAAATTTAAGTAAATTAAATCACCATGACTAAAGACCTCCTATCTTCACAGCACTGAACTAGACTTGATTGAGAAGTAATATGTTCTTCACTCTGAAGTATAAAGCAATGAGATCATAACGTATCCTCAAAAATATAGATCAGGATATCACAACAGATAAGACACAGAGATGAATAAATGAGTATCAGAAGCCAATTGGACGTGTAAGGAAAGCAGATGACTTACAGGGTTCCGGCTTGCAGAATTAGGTAGATTTCACTGCCCACTAATCCCTACAGAGTACGTGGTGAGAAGTGCTGGTGAGGCTGAGTCAGGGAAGCATTGTTGAGAGAGGAAATGGCAATCAAGAACTCTATCATGTTGATGCTGGTGCTAGAGAAAATTGTAAGTTAATAAATTTTGTGCTGTGACCCTGATGCCATCTTTTCAAACTAAGTCATCACCATGTAATTTAAGTCTTTGTCACTTTTCATCTGAGTTAAGTGACCTTCTGTTCTCCAGGCCCTATAATACAACCAACGTGATTCTTCCAAAATGAAAGATAATCACTCTTCTTTCTTGCTGACAGCTGTTCTCTGGTTTCCTATTGCTTATCGAAAAAAGCGTGATCTTTTACCTTGGTATACCAGGCCCTGTATGATATGACAATGGCTTGTTCTCCCATGTCTGCTCCTATAGTTGCCCATTCTGGCCCTATCCTCTGGTCTTATGGAAATGCTAATGCTGATTTTACTTAGGATATCATGCTGTTTTATAATTTTGTGTCTTTCTTATGCCATTCTTTCCATTTCTTCTGCATAGGATGCTGTCCTGCCTTCATGTGTTTTAGCTTTTTGCTTTTTCTAAACTTTTGTAACTTGTAGTTCCCATCATCTTTCAAGATGCTGTGTAAATATTCTCCATTTTAGACCGTTTTCTGACCTTTCCCAGTAGCATTTATCTATCATCTGTTATAACTAGACCTTACATCTCTACTGTAACAATTAGAATAATGTATTTCAGTTATTTACATGTTTCCTCTCTTATTAGACCATGGGATTTCAGCTGGTTTGGGTGGGAAATAAGCCAATGATGCGGTAATTCATAGCTTCCTAACAAAATGCATCTATTTGTATCTATCATTCAATAAAGGTGACTGTCTTAGACTTTCCCAAATGAAATTTCGCTTTCTCAGCAATTTGACGAAGTTACAGGGCACCATCTTATTATGCATTCCACCCTTGTGACCAGATGATATTCTTGATGTCAAACATATATAAAAGAAGAGAGAACAGTGTAATGAATTCTATTACCCAGTTTCAACAATTAATGACGAATTGTCAACTGTATTGCCCCTATACTATTGCTCTATTCTCCTATCTTCCCTCCAAACATTTGAAGCAAATTCCAAACATAATAACATTTCATTTGCAAATATTACAGCATGTATTAATATTTCTAAATAATAAGGGCACTTTTAGAAAACATTGATGATACCATTATCACATCTAAAATATTTTCAATTTCCTAATGTCACCCAATAATCTCTATTCAGTTTTGTATTACATCTCATATTTTAAACTGTTTAAATACAGGTCTGGTAATGCCTATGCTTTGTGATTGGTTGATATTTTTGTGGACAATTTTGCTCTGTTTTGGATATTTTGTCAATATTTAGAAACATTTTTTGGTTTTTACATTAAAGAAGGAATGCTACTGATATTTAGGGTGTGGAGGCCACGGATACTGCAAAACATCCTACAATACACAAGGTGGCCACCACAGTAGAGAATTATCTAGCCAGAATAGTAAGAGGGCAAGGTTGAGAAACTCTGGTCTATATAGGTTCCTCCTGAATTATATATTGCATTGTAATTTACTTGTTGAATAAACTGGGTCTTTTGTCTTATAAAGTTTTCCACATCTATATTTTGCTAATGATAGATTGTGGTCTAATTAAAATATTTTTTCTGTTTCTTGTATTTTTTAGCAATTAAATCTAGAAGCATCATCAGATTCAGATATAATTTTCTTTTTCTATCAGAACTGCTTTTTTTTCTGTTTCACAGTATTGTGTATTTGCATCAGGTGGCACATAATGTCTGATCATCTCTCTGTTTCTCATCAATATGGGAAACTTGGTGATCACTGTCTAAATTCATTAATTCATTTGGAGTTGAGAAACAGTGATATAATATTTTTATAATTTATTCGTTTATTGAAAACATCATTGACTCTTGGAAATACTCATTCCAACTTTTGATAGAAAAATAACATGGTGCATGAAACATTTATACATTTTGTATTTCTTTTCAGAAACATCCTGTACCACCTTGATGAACAGACAAGCCGGTTTTCAATACTTGTGGAGGCTTGGGAACGCTGCAAACCCCTTGTGTCAGACGAGACCCTTCACGAAGCCCTGTCAGAGGTGTTGAACAGCATTAATTCAGCTCAGGTTTACTTCAAAGCAGGACTTGATGTGTTCAAGAGCGTCTTGGATGGGAAAAATTGAGAAAACTCTGAGAATTTTTTAAAGTTTGTTTACAATTTCACAAGCAAAAGCTCTAATTTAACCAGATTTTCTGACGTTGAAGCCTTATTTTCCCCAATGGCTTTTTGACAAGTTTAAAGCTATTATTACATTGTATTTTTTAAATGTACATATAAAAAGAACATTTTGCACATTTAATATTTTTCTTGTATCTACATTTCTGAATATGTAAAGCAAGTTATTGAAATGGTACTTAAGAATTACCCATTAAAAATAAATCATATATATATATATATATATATATATATATATATATATACTATTTTGATGATAAAGTTCCAAGAAGTTCTGGACTATCTTTGTTCCTATCGGCAGAGGATATAAGGACACAGTTTATTCTCACCGATAGAGCTATTAATGACCTAGTTTCTTATAAGAAATGGAAATTAATGTGGTTTCAGATTAATTTCACTATTAAGTGTTCAATATGAAGAATTCAAGTATTCTGACCTAAACCACTTTGAATGTTTCTATTTTATGAAATGAAGTTTCTCTTCTTAACACAACTAGATGTACTAATACACTGGTTATGAAATTGTATTTTTTTAAGTATGAATGAAAAAAGAGCCATAAGCATTCCAGGGGAAAATCTCAAGCTATGCAGAGCAATTTAAATGCAGTTGCAAATTTTTTTCCCAACAACTTAAAAGGTGACTAGCTTTGAAACCCCTAATTTGCCTCAGTTGGTTTTCCAAGAATTTCAGGAGTGTTGTATGTCTTATAAGGGAGAAAAATATTTCTTATTACTTTTTCTCTTGTTTCTGTTGGAAACACTGAAACAGGGACTACTTTAAAATGAAAGTGTCTCACATTGGTTTTCTTTCTTGTATCTTTTCTGAAATTCCTTGCTGTAAGGCAGCTTTCACAGAGTACTACATATTTTCCACAATAAAGTAGCAGTTTCTCTTTGAAACCCAAAATATCTTCTAAAGCCTCAGATTTCTATTTCTGCCTCTGACAGAAAGAACTTACTATGAAAGAAATAGTTGTTTTTATCAATAAAAGCTCCTTAAGTCTATGAATAAAATTTTGATAGTTTTTCTTCTTTATCCTTGATTGTGACTAAGATGGAAACGTAGAAAACATTCATGCTTCTAAGTTTATGCAGTGTTACTGTCGGAGTGTCCCTTCTACGCTTCAATTCTTCTCTCATGTGGAAAATTCAGCTTTCTATACTGACACTGTCATTGAATAGATCTGGCAACTATTATTCCCCCAAACCCTAAAATTCTATTAGGTGACAGGTTAAAGTTCTAGTTTATCTTTAGAAATTTATTTGAACAATGATTTTTTTTTTATCGGATAAAGCAATTCCCCTTAGGAAACATAGCTTCAGAATATCTCACATGAATTTTCTCTATCTAATTGAAACATACTTCTCCATCATACACCACCAAAGCAACGTTGGAGACAGTCTGTGTATGTTTAGTTTTCATTTTTTTGCGGGGGTGGGGAGTGGGCGATGGAGTCTTGCTCTTGTCACCCAGGCTGGAATGCAATGGCACAAACTTGACTCACTGTAACCTCCACCTCCGGGGTTCAAGTGATTCTCCTGCCTCAACCTCTTGAGTAGGTGGGATTACAGGTGCCCACCACCACACCTGGCTAATTTTTATACTTTTGGTAGAGACAGGGTTTTGCCACGTTGACCAAGCTGGTCTCAAACTCCTGACTTCGTGGTCCGCTCACCTCAGCCTCCCAGAGTGCAGGGATTACAGGCATGAGCCACTGTGACTAGCCACATTTTCACTTTTTAGTGATGAGTATAAACCTAATCTTAGGTTAAAAGCAAACTAAAGTTGAGGGGAGATAATCAATATTGATTACTTGATTTATAAGGTTCAATGCTTTATACCCTAAATAATTTTTATATGCTCAGGGCAAAGCAGGGAATTTAGGTAATAAACTAGATAATTTAAGCATAAATCCATTTTCATTGAAATTGCCTGTGTGCACGTCTTTTTAGATGAGAAATGAAACTACCTTACAATGTTATTCTTTTAATCAATGTATTTGTTTGAAAATATTTGCAATGTTGAAGAGTTTGTATAGGAAAGGGCTGGAAATAACCGGGCTTATGCATGCCTAGGCATTCAGCCTCTTGCTTCCTCTTCAGAGATCATCAGAAAAGATGTGGGAATACACATGCAAGCACATGTGAGCCCTAAAGCTACAAAACCTTATACCAGAAGAACTTAAATATTTAACCAAAGGTTGATGTGTTCATTCCAGTCATTCATTCCAGATGAAATGATAACTAAGAAAAGCAAACTATTTAAGTTTGGTAGTTCACTATTTTAGAACAAATTTCTAAATGAATTTATTTTCATAACCTACAATAGCATTGACAGCAGAAAATACGTTTCTTCATATTTGTTTAACGATTGCCTACCTAGGAAAGACGCACTTTATAGAGAAAAATCTTATTCTGTTTTCTGCACCTCTAAATTATATGTTAGTTGTTATTTGAAAACTGTAGTTAACTATGGGTTTTATTAGTCCATTAAGAGATATGTGGAGAAACTAAATTATAACTTAAGCAGATGTCCAAGAATTTCTATACATGCTGCTTTATATCTTTGCAACAAATCTCTTAACTAGCAGCATTACTGCTATGGTATAATTATCTGAGGGTGCCTCCAAGTGTATATTATTTCACTCCCCTCCTCACCCTCCTGCACCCCACTGCACCCCACTGCACTCCAATAGCTCTAAATAAATAAAATCCTGAGCAAGTTAACAGGAAGCGTTATATGAATTGGTAGTAGGTTTAAATTGTTGCTGAGTCATCTATATGTCTAGGACTTCTCACAGCCTTTCACACGTAGAATTGCACCAGGAAATAATGAATCATAAATTTTCTCTGAAGAAAATGTGGCAAAGGTGTAAAACTGATATTTGTGTTCAGTCAGCGCACACAGGAGATACTGCCCTTCATGGAAAAGCGTAAGTCTCAGAATCAAAAGAAAGCCTAAGAAAGATTCTGGTTTAAGCCCTGAGATCCGGCCTTCAACCAGAGAAGGAATTATCAATTACCCCCACCAGATATAGTAACTAAACCCAAAGTGAGCAAGAAACGTGGACATCGTCATGTATTATTTAGTAACAAAAGCACCACGGGAATTTCAGCTTTCTCATGCAGTATATCTTGCTTCTTCCTGAGGAGACAGGATTATAGATGATCGTTTCCAGTGCATGCTGTGTAACCAGCCATTCTATCAGGCATTGCCTGGCCTGGAAACACTGCTTTTAATTCAAGGCTAGTTCATTTTCTGACTGTACCTGACAAACAAAACTGTCCCAGAAAATTCAGGGAAAGGGCACAAAAACTGCGTACTTGAGAGAAAGTGGGAAGAGTCTTTTTTTATTATACTTTAAGTTCTGGGGTACATGTGCAGAACGTGCAGGTTTGTTGCACGTGTTCTCATTGTTCAACACCCACTTATGAGTGAGAACATGCGGTGTTTGGTTTTCTGTTCTGTGTCAGTTTGCTGAGAATGATAGTTTCCAGCTTCATCCATGTCCCTGCAAGGGGCATGAACTCATCCTTCTTTATGGCTGCATAGTATTCCATGGTGTATATGTGCCACATTTTCTTTATCCAGTCTTTCATTGATGGGCATGTGGGTTGGTTCCAAGTCTTTGCTATTGTGAATAGTACCACAATGAACATACATGTGCATGTGTCTTTATAGTAGCATGACTTATAATCCTTTGGGTATATCCGGTAATGGGATTGCTGGGTTAAATGCTATTTCTATTTCTAGCTCCTTGAGAAATAGCCACACTGTCTTCCACAATAGTTGAACTAATTTACACTCAAAAGTGGGGAGCGTCTTTACAGAACACCAGAAGTCAGGAAGAAGGACATTCACAACATATTCCTATAAGAGGGTGAGTTAGGCCCATGCTAAGTCAAAAATCAATCACTGTTTCCTAAAATGTGAAATTTCAAAAGAGAGGGCTAGGAATCTACATCTTCAGCAAGATTTCCAAATGTTTCTTACACACACTGAAGCTTAAGAATTTCCAATCTACCTTAATTGTATGTTCCAAGAAAACCCTAGTTGACATTTCTAAATAAATTGAAGAGTCACAATAACAAGAAAGATGTAAATCTTTGTTATTAATGGAAACATTATGAGAAAAGAAAAGTGGACCCATTTTATCTATTTTAGCTCTATGACAACAATTCATTTGCAGCTAATATTTGTGCCTGCTGCCCAGGCACTGATGCTATTCTAGAATTTTTTTTTTTTTTAAATTCCCACAACAACCTATTCAACAGTGAGAGCACTAGGTTGAATTACTTGTCCACAGCTAATAACAATGATGAGGCATGTTTCTCTTTTGGGCTCACTGGTATTCAGTTTTTCATTTTTCACACTGAGTACTGCAAGAAAACATCAGATTATTTTGATTCTGGAAAGTGAGATAGTTGAAAATTTTAATGTATTTCTCCAAAACTGATCAGACTGCACAGTCTGTCACTTTTTTGGTATAATAAAGGAGTTTGCAGAAACAAATGACATTCCTGAAGATGGTAGCCCACTCCAACAATGGTATATATATGTAGGTAAGTTTGAAGATACATAAAAGAGCATAAAAAGGCATGTGCACCATTGTGGCATATCATGACAAGTAAGCTCACGAACAGTAAAAAGAGACCAGAAACTACCAGTCTTATACTTTCCTTGTCTAAAGGCTTATATAATTTCACTGACAAAAGAAAAGCAGGTGCTGTGATTTAAAACCACAGTTTTATGTTATTTTTTAAACTGAGAATAATCAATTAACTTTTAAAATTAAATAAATGTAGAGCACATAGTAAGTTTCCCCACAGGAAAGATAGATGCTAACAAAAATAAAATGAATGATTACCTGTTACCATCTTACAAATGATGAATCAGCATACTTGCCTCAAATAAAAATCTATACTTATTTATACAATCAATTGGTAGACCCAGCCAAAAATGTTCTCATGAGACATTCTGTGATATGTGTAATTAATTACTCCAAAAATTAAGCTTTCTCTGAGGGGAACACATTGTCATCTCATTGGTTTAATGGGCTATTTAAATGTGCCTTAGCTGCACATTTGCTTAATAGAAAGGAATTATTTTAAACTACCAACCCATATGTTGAGTGGAAAGGAAGTTGGCCCACATATTCCAATAAATATATCAACAAAATAACAGCTTCATCATGGGACCATGAATACAGTGCAGG